CGATTTCAGTCTTTACAAGAAATTTGTAAACTTTTTGGATTTCTCTGGGAGTTTAAAAATTTGAATGACGAAGATCTTGTATTGGCTGCTCATCATTTTCAGCACAAATATGACAAAGAAATATCACAAGAACTTGAAAATGAGGTTTTATTTTTTAAAAGAATCTATGGTGCTAATTTTAAACTAAACCGCACACCAAAAAAATTGCTGGAAGAAATACTTGGGACTTGGTCTTTCAGATGTCTTTCCAAACATTACAATCGCATTACGAATTTTTATCAGCTTGCCTGCATCGACGGCTTTGGGCGAACGCACATTTAATGTTTTATAGCAGATAAAAAATTATCATCATTCAACTATGGGACAGGAACGGTTGAATGGACTTGCTATGTTGAATATAAATTGCGATATTGCACGAAAACTAGATTTTTCAAATATAATTGCTGCATTTTCAGAACAAAAAGCAAGAAAAGCGTTTATGAAAATTAATTAAAACTAATTCATTCTGTTTTTATTTTAGTGAATTTCTTTAGATTTCATTTTCAAAATGTGACATATTTAACTATTCATTTATAGTGACAAATAATTACATATCGAAAAAAACCAGATAATAAAAACCAATTCATAATTATTTATGCATGAATCATTCATTTGTGAAATCTGAGTTGTAACATTCACAATAAAGTAACAGTGTAACATTCCACTCATACGTCGTACCTTCTTAATTCCCAGGCCTCCCCAAAATGGCGTTTTTAGTAGACAAGCGCGTCTCTTGGCTAGTTGGCTTGATAAAACCATGGAAGTATAAAACAGATGGAAGTTCAACCGCATTGAAATTCTTCGGGACTATGCTTGTAACTTTTTGTTTCGTAAACAATAAGAAAACGACATCAAGACTGTACTTAAAAGCTTAATCTTTATACGTTGACGTAAATAGATACGTTTATAATAGTTTAAAAATATAGTGTTTTGAAGGTTCGCCAATAATATTCAAGAAAAACATTAAAAATGGCGCAACGTAACGGCAAACAACAATTTTTATATAAACTTTATATTAAATGAATGGAGTACTACAAGAATGAATGGAGTTATGGTATACATCTAATAAAACTTTAAACTTAAGTTATTTAAAAAACAATTTTTTTGATTTTTTAAAAATTGTTTTAGTTGTCTTTTTTATCAAATGTCGTGTTATGACTTGAAGCAAGAAAAGAAGCTTAAACTAACATATGCTTTTAAAATCAAGTGGTTCTATTTAATTACCGACTTTTAATAAACCTTTTGTTGAATAATTACAATTACTAATGGTTAAAAATTTGCAGCATATCCCTAGAATGATTCATTTTTTAAAGATCATTTCAGTGAATTTTGTTGTTTTTTTATCCAGTGAAACTTATTTTTTTTTTTATTGTCGGTTACAAGCATACTCCCGAGACGACTTGAAATTGCTATGATGTTTGCGGCTCGATGAACTTCCATCTGTTTTATACTTCCATGATAAAACGTACAAAAGGCGCCACATCTGTGTGTGACGGTCTGTTTAATTTATTGCATTTAGTCTTAAAGTTAGACATTATTGGGTCCTGACCTATCTGAAGACTTAAATGGCTTTGCATTATCTTGCGTCGCGTTTTGCGCAAATTTTTCTTTTGGGGCCTCCGATTTTTTACTGGCCGAGGCCTCTCCAAACCTCTGAAAGGCCCTGAGAACAAGTTCTTCAAGCAAGAAACTTAACTTTAAGTTTCCCGCCAATTTCATTTGTTTTGATATAATAAAGTTCTTAGCAAAAATGGCAGAAAACAAGGTTTTTATAAAATCATCAACATTTGTTTTTCTTTAATAACTTCCAATACCGCAAGAGACCGCAGTAATCCTCTTACATTCCTAAAGTAGAAATGTTAATTAACTGGAAAATATATATATATATATATATATATATATATATATATATATATATATATATATATATATATATATATATATATATATATATATATATATATATATATATATATATATATATATATATATATATATATATTTATATTTGTGGAACTCGGTGGAACATTTTTTTAGCTGATATATAAACAAAAAAAATACAATTATTTTCTACTTTTTTTTTAGAGAAGTTTTTAAATTTAAACGAAAAAATCAGACATTTTTTTTTCTTTTTAGTATATTTGAAATATAAAGAGTCAAAATATTATTTTAAAAATAAATGTACACTTTTATTTAAATTTCAAGTTCTCTAATTTAGTTTGAATAAAAACCTCATATTTTTCAGATTTTTTTAAAAATAATATCAAATTTTCTCACTTCTTTTACCTATAAAATACAAAATAAAAGCCTTATGAAAAAATTATTTTTACTTTTGAAATAAAAAATCATTGTCTTTTAATTTTATCTAACAAAGGGTACTTAATTTATAAAAAAGTGGTGAGGGGTTTATTGACATTTTTTGTTGTTTTGAGTCACGGTGCGGCGTTGGTCTTGTCCGACCGCTTTATTAAGTTTAATCATTATGTATGCGCATTCAAGTTCTTCGAATATTGTTTCAAAAATATTTAGAGAAGTGTTTAATGAAGAGGGAGTGTCACTTGCTAAAATAGTGACAATAGGGATAATTTTAGCTAAGTTTGGTCCAACTGATACGAAATACTTGTTTATTTTGCTTGCTATTATTATAGGATCATTTAAGAGTTTGCCATTTATTTCAATAACTTTGGGTAGAGAGCACACTTTTATTTTATGATTACTGATAATTTCATTTATATATTTCGATGTTCTTTTAGAATCATTTTTGTATTTTTCAAATAAATTGGTGTAGTATTTTTTTTTACGGTTTTATCTTTGTTTTTCAAATTGTTTTGCATAAGTTTTAAAGAGTGTTTTATTTTCAATTGTTTTCAATTTTAGGTATTTGATATACAGTTTTTGTTTTATTTTCGAGGATTTTCTCAAATCTTTTGTAATGCATGGTGATTTAATAATTTTATTTGTTTTACAAACCTCGCATTTTAGAAAAATTACATCGTAAATTTCATAAAATATTTAAAATGAGCCGTACATTTTGTTTGGTTCAGAAGTACTAAAAAGACTCTAATTTATCAAAGACAATTGCTCTTTCGTTTTCGTAGAGGTAATAATTTAATAGAGAAAAAAAATGGGAAAATGATCAGATGAATCAATCTTAATAATTCCTTTATTGAGAAATTTATTTGAGGTGTTGGTTGTAATAGTATCATCTATTGGTGAAGCTGGTTTTGTTGTTACCCTTGTAGGTTTATTTATTAAAATGATTGCTCCATTTTTAAACAAATCGTTATAAAAATTTTTAATGTTTTATTTATGAAATAGTTATAAAAATTCAAGATCACCAATTAAGTAATTTAGTTTTTTTTGTGTGAAAACCTTTTTTTATGATATCATTAATTAAAAAATTAATTAAACTTTTTAATTGCGCCTGATGGTGGGTGATAACGGCAGCTTAAAATTATGTTTTTTTCTGTAGTAATTTCAATAGTTAGAATCTCTTTATCGTTATCAGAAATACTCATGTCAGGCCGGATAATAAACTGCAAATTATTGTTTACATAAATAAGAACACCTCCACCTCGGTTGTTTGTTTTGCCTGCAGGATCATATTAAAGCCTTGGAGATGGAGATTTGCGTACAATGCAGTGTCGCCAGAGCTGCACCACATTTCTGTTACGTTTTTTTTTTCAAGCAACTTAATTTGCAATATTTGATTGTCGACAAAATAACACCAGATGGAATAAGTTTCCACCTTAATTTTCTACTTTGCTCAATACATATAATCCACATAATTCACCAATCAAAAACGATCACACGGGCAAGGCCGGCGCGATAGGGGGGGTGCGACCTCCCCCCTCCTTTATCGATGATTTTTAGTCGGCAAGTTTGACCCTTAGTCGGCAAATTTGACCTTTTTTGACTAGTTAGTCAGCAAATGTCGACCCTTTCGATATAGGTTTGTCGGTAATCTAGACAGTCGGCAAATGTCGTCATGGCAGTGGGTAAATTTTCGAAAACGAGGACTTTTTTTTGTTTTAGTCAGCAAGAGTTGTAATGGCACCCCCTCCCCACATGACACCTACTCGCGCCGGCCCTGCACACGGGCCAGGTTAGCCGATGTCGATAATTTTACTCAGTAAATATGACAACTAATAAATTTATTTTTCATATTTAAAAATCTTGTTAGTTGTTTGTCAGCATAATTGATTTTCTGTTAAAAGCTTTTTCTAATAGTTTTTGAGCGGTCTTATACCTTAATAAGTTAATTTTTGATACTTTCATTAATGGCATTCCTAAATTTATTTCAGTGGATGCGTTTTTGATAATACATAAAGGTGAGTTTCCACTCATCCGTTTTTCTACGGGAAAAAATAAGGGAACGGAAAAATAATCACGTGAGCATGCGCAGTTTTCTTTTGGACAAATTTTTTTTGATCATTCGATTTTTTCTGTCATTCCAATGTCATTCAAGAAATTGCATTTATATTATTTTGACATAAATACCAAAATAATAATTAAAAAAAAAACGGCCATGACGTCTTTAACATTGAACTTTAGAGTAAATCGTATTCAAATCGAAAACCGCAATCCAATCACAGATACGATTTTACAATAAAAGAATAACATGAAAATAATTTCACTGATATCTCTCACAACAGCTTTTCAAGAGCCTTATTATTTTTGTTACTTGACTCCACACTTTTTTTACCAAAACATCATAATTATTATTCTTAAAAACAACTGTCGATAAAAATAATAACAACAACGATAATAACAATAATAATACTGAATGTTGTGCAACTTCACTTAACTTCATATACTCCTCTGCGTTTAACTTAACTTCATATACTCCTCTGCGTTTAACTTAACTTTATATACTCCTCTGCGTTTAACTTTTTAATCACCAAGTACCAAAAAGTAAAAAACATTTTAGCTACGTTTAAAGCAAATAAAATAAGAGCAAATATAGTTAAGTACAATATTTAAAGTACAAATCGACACATGAAAAATATCGATACAAAATATTAGAAGTACAAGAAAACTCTTATCGTTCTTAAAAACAATGATAATACTTAATTATTCAAAATATGTTTAAACTAAAAAAAAATGCTATTAGGATTATTACCCAGGAGGCCACTGCATCTGTCTCCCTCCAAGAACGTGAATATGCAAATGATATACAGATTGAGCACCGTTCTTTCCATTGTTTATAACAAGACGATATCCATCATCCGCAAGTCCTTGTTCTTGAGCACATTTCTGAGCAACAAGCAACAAATGACCTAATAAAAAGCAATCTTCTTGTTTAGCATCTTGTAGTGTTGGAATTGGAACTCGTGGTATAACTAAAAAATGCACTGGAGCCTGTGGCATAACATCGTGAAAAGCTATGCATTGATCATCTTCATAGAATATTTTTGCTGGTATTTCTTTTCGTAAAATTTTTGAAAAAATGGAATCAGCTTGAACATGATTACCATATTTATTCCGTGCATCTGCTGCTAACGCAGCTTGATCAACCTACAGATAAATTATAATAACTAATTTATTTATTTGGTTTTTATCGGTTTAACCGGTTCTTTTTTTTAAAATAAAACTGTTTAAGCATTTAGCAATTTTTTAATTTTTGTTGAATAACTTTTCCCAAACTTTTTTAAATGAGCTGAAACTTTTACCAAATATGCTTTACATTATTTTAAATCAAAATACAAAACACAAAAAATTTAATAGTAATTTTTTTTTTTTTTTTTGAAAAGGCTTACTTATAAAAGTTTAGAAACAACTGAATTTTAATTAATAATATCAAAAAAAAAAAAACTGAAAATAAAAATTTTCAATAAAATTGTATTTGCCATAGTATGCCACCAAATTAATTATTCATTGGTGGCATTCATTAGCCTTTAAAACAGCGTCACCAGTGACCCCACAAATAGTAACTAAATTTTTAAATATATTGCTTTAAATAAATAAGGAATGCTTTGAAAATCCAAAAACAGCAAACTTCAGGCATATTACAATTAACAAATCTCAGAAAATAATAAAAACAAGTTTCAATAAAGTTTTAATGAATAAATTTGTACTTATATTTCTAAATTCTGGCTCAAATAATTCTGAAGCAAATTTTCCTAACATAACAAATTTGTAACAAAAGTGTTTCTCTTAATAGCATTTTAATTAGCTAAACTATTTCTTCTCATGTATAATTTGTGAAATGCCTTGTAATATGTTTTGATATTTTATGCATATTTTCTGTTTTTTTTTTTTTCATAAATAATGTATCGCTAAAATCCAAAACAAACTTTTTGTTTATTATATCTTTGAGAAAGCTTGTTAATCATTATCGAACCTGAAGTATATGCCCACACTTTTTACATTAAAAGTTTTCCATTATGTGATAGCAAGTTCAATAAAATCACGAATTTTGTTAACATATGAGGTGTTAGAAGTTTCAGGGTGATTAAGATGAGAATATTTTTTATATGATTTTGATTACATGGACTAAAGTCAAACACCAAAAGAGTTTAATCTGTAACTAATCAAGGCTTTTCATAAAATGTTAGATATTTATCACATATAATTGCCTTTGCTTTGCTATTTGACTCACTGATTCTAGAGTTAAATCAATTTAATCAAATAAAAATTAAGAATTTATTTGTTAACAGGTTTTCATAACATTTTCTTAAGAAATTTAGGACCATCAAACATACAATCACAACATCTTAAGCAGTTTTTAAAAGAAAACTCATATCATTAGTTTTCCAAAACTGCAATTTCCTGACACAATAACATTTTTGTAACATACACCTTGTCACAGAGAATAATAGTTTATAGTAGAACTTTTCAAAGTAGAAAAAAAAAGTATTAGAAAGTTCCTTGCAATTTTATAATAAACTAAAATTCGAAAAATTTGAGAGGAAAATTATGCAAAATGTTATTTTAGTTTAACCTTTTTGAAGTTTTGATGTCAACCAGATTATATACTAAAGTGTTGCTAGACGCTTTAAAACTCGCATAAGGTAAAAATTCTATTCAACCTGTTTTCTTCTCTTTGTGTCTGGGAATTTTTTTTAAAAAACGTTTTTAAATTGTTTGACTTTTTCAATGATTTCGGTCTCCTATTGGACATCTGACATACCTAATTACATTACTACTGAATATCACTAAGTTTAATTCATGGCAGCTTTTTTAAAAAACAATGAAATTTCTAATTCTTATAGTTTTCTGAATTATTATTATTACTTAAATTTATTGAACACCCAATATGATAATATTTACAAGGCTAAAAAAAAAAAAAAAAAAAAGAAGAAAGTTCTTATCATTTTTACTTAACAATTCCTTCTTTCAAAATTTGTTTTAAAATGTTATAAATTGAATTGAAATAATACAAAGCACATAAAATATAAAATTTTAAAATTTCAGCTTATTTGAGAAAATTTGTGAAAAGTTATGCAATATTAAAAACTAGAAAAAAGTTGGTAATGCTAAATTTTTGCATGCAACTGTAGATATATAAATAGATTTATGAAATAAGACGTTTATCTTCAATTAAAACTAAAGTATATCAAAAACAAACCAAATCGTGAATAATTGAAAAATTGAAAAAAAATTTAAATTTTTCACAAAAATTTTATATTATAAAATGGAATTCTTGTTTCCTAAACTACGTGAAGCCATTTCACAACTTGAGTGAAACACTTATATATATAAAGCACATTATGATTTATGCACATTCATAGACTGAACTATTTTGGATAGGCCTCAGTAAGGGTATATACAAAACACTTTTTTATGGAATGGATGCAGCAGATTGTACATTATTATAAAAATTAAATTTTTTTTTTATTATTGCAGATCGATTAACGTCAATAATAATGCAATTGACTGAGGATTGTGCTTTAGAAAGCAAGTATACAAATACATACAAGATTTATTAGAGAATGAACAAAATTTGTTTTTCATTATTAACCTTACTCTGAGGAACTACATATTTCAGTAAACCTTCACTAAAAGCTTTTTTCTTTTCAAAATTATCATGATTTGTTACTGATAAATCTAGCAAAAAAAATATTTATGATGAAATTTCTCTTTATTTCTTTGGATATGATTATATAACTGCTTCACTATTCAAAAGGAAAAAAATTTAAAAAGATTTTTGTTTGAAGCAGAAATTTTCTTCTGTTAGAAAAAAAAAAGCAAAAAATACTTTTAAATTTAAACACATTCTTGAGATTTCAACTAGTTATTATGATGTTGACCCTTATATTAATTAAAATTAGTGGTAAAGGCAAATTACATAGAAGAAAAAAAACTTTGATATAAAACCAACAACTCAATTGTATGCAAGGTTAGAAAAAGCTCATACGCCTTATTTTTTAAAACAGTGAATGATTATCTCGATTTTGAACTTTTAAATTTTAAATCAAAATGACTCTTTCGGTAAGATACAGAAAGTACACTTTTTTTATTATCTTTTTTTTATAGTTTAGACAGGTGAGATTTACTATGATAAAAACTCTGCTACAAAACTTCTAATTTATTTATTGATAATAGTAAAATGAGCTTGCAAATTTTAGATAATAATATCTTCTCAGCAGAACTATTACAATACAAATACTCAGTCATGATATTTGCATATCAGGTTAACACCAGCATGGTTTAATATTGCTTTAAACCTTTGTAATGTCATATTTAAGAAAATAACATTTATTTTTGTTTTATTATTTAAGTTAAAATTTTTGACAATTTATTTTAATTTCTAATTATTTATTACATTGTTTATATTATCGAAATACCATATTTTATTAGATCAAATATCTTTTAAAAATTATTAAAGTTGACTTGTTTTTAATACTGCATACTTTACTTACATTCATACTTTAAAAAATCTTTAATAAATATTATTATAGATTACTTACTTCCGAAGACATTAATGTTGGAAACGTGGTTAGAGCACGAAAGGGTATATTTGCACTCGCTGAGGTACGTTTACCAATAACTATTCCAACTTTGACAACGCGCAAAATGGCTGAAAAAGATCTCATCTTTAATTACACAAGGGAACAAAAAAAATTTCGGTCTGCAACCTGAGAAAAAACCTGTTAGTCTGACTAATTATGACACGTTGATTACAGTACTGTAATGTAATCAGAATATTTGTTTCACGTCAGGTTTTTGAGTTATATCACTTTTACATTTTTGGTAATAATGGATGTTGTAGCTAGCTTTTATATTGCTTAATATTGTTTAGCACTTGTGTGTTGTGTACTTTACTTTTAACTGTTATATTTTTTTTATTTCAGACTGATCGTGTAGTATTTTCAAAATAATATGAAGAAAGTTAAAAGGGGTTGCTTGAATCATCCAGACTATTTCTGTTACATCTTTGGACATTTTACTCTCCGTGATCAGCGGAAACAACTTACAAGAAAAGTGAAGGTTGCCTATCATCAGGACTTCGGCGTCAAAGTATGTGATTAAAACAGAACCTGGGTGCCACTTATTTGCTGCAGTATTTGTTATGTGGGGCTCGCCCAGTGACTAAATGGCTAAATGAAGTCTATGCCGTTTGCGGTACCAATTATATGGCGAGAGCCAAGAGATCATCATTCGGACTGCTTCTTCTGCATGACAAAAATTGCTGAATACTCCAAGAAAAACAAATCAGCAATTCATTATCCAAATTGTGACTCTGCTTTAAAATTTGTTCTACACGATAAAAAAAATCCAGCTCCCAATCCTCCGATATACCTTGATAGCGAAATCGACTATGATGATGAAGAAATCCACATGGAGCAGGAGAGTGATGCATATGAATCTATAGATGATGATAAGGTACCTCATCTTATTGGCTAAGCTGAATTGAGCAATTTAGTGAGAGATCTGAAAGAACTGGAATGTGAGTATACTCCAGAAGACTGGCATCTGTTTATAGACTCAAGTTAGTCTTAAAGCAGTTCTCCTGCACAATGGGAATGTGATGCCATCTATTCCATTAGCATACGCAGTCGGATTACATGAGAAATATGATTTTATGAAGTTGCTTCTTAACGTTTGGATTATTTTAGAGATATGATTCTATGAAGTATTCTTAACGTTATCAAGTATAGAGATCTTAACTGGTGCGTCTGTGGGGATCTAAAACTAGTGTACCTTCTTCTTGGATTGCAGCTGGGATACACAAAGTACATGTGCTTTCTATGTCTATGGAACAGCCGTGACAACGAAAATCATTACTGTTAAAGTCTGGCCAGCAAGAACTGATCATGTATCTGGCAGATACAATGTACGACATGAGTCTCTTGTTTATTCTACCAAAATATTACTTCCCCTTCTTCAAGTAAAGCTGGGACAGTTTAAAAAATTTGTGAAGGTTCTGGGCAAAAATTCGGTTGGCTTCGCTTATTTTCAAAAGAAGCTCAAGACCACTCTTACACCAGTAAAAATAAGTACGGGTGTGTTCACCAGACCTCAAATTCGTGAATTCATTTGTGATCCCACCTTCAAGACACAGCTGAAGCCTGCTTAGTTGGCAGTCTGGGATGCATTTGTGGCTGTGGTTTCTAACTTTATGGGAAACCACAGATCTAAGAGCTATGAAGAGTTGGTTGAAAGAGTACTAACAAAATACAAGGATATGAGATGCAGAATGTCCTTAAAAATTCACTTTTTGCACTCCCATCTAAGTTTCTTCACACCCAATCTAGGTGCAGTCAGCGACGAATAGGGTAAACATTTTCACCAGGAAATAACAACGATGAAAAACAAATATCAAGGGAGGTATGACAGCAACATAATGGGCAAAACACTATAGCTTAGCTAGAAATATTTAATGACTGATGTTTCTCATCGAAAAAATATTAAGCATGATTCGTGGAAATATATTATTTTATTTGAAACACTCACAAGCAATTGAATTTCATAAAAATAACTACATGAAATGGACAAATTCGCAACTTCCGTGCGTAATAGTTCATGAATTGTATTTAAACAATTCCTGTAACTCTATGATAGTAGTACAACCCTGTAACTTTCTGGAAATCTTACTAATGTTTAAAATATTAAACAAAAAAAAAAACATACCGCTGAAACACATATTTTCCGAGGAACTAAAATTTATTTATTTAGTAACTTTATTTAGTGGTTCCGTGCATGATTCCGCTTCAATTTTAATTAGTTCTTTGATAATATTACTAATGCATACCATTTTTTGTTTACAAAATATTTATATAGATTAGAATTTATTAGATAAAATGAGAGTAGAGGAGAGCGGGGCTAAAAGTCATAAGGGTTAGTTGTCATAGTCGCTATTTCGGAATGTTATAGCTGGATTGATGCTGCGATTTTTTTATATTATATAAATGGTGCTGAAAGATGACTGCTCAGTTGATTTCATGAAATTCGCGCAAATAGTTTTTCTACAAATCCAAAAAAAGTAAAAATTTCGTTGGTAAGTAACTTTTTAACTTTTTTGTTCAAATGCTCAATACAGTAACAATATGCAATATTTGTGTTTAATACATTAAAATGTTTATAGTTTTAAAAATTCTTTTATTGGTGTGCTAGTCATTTTTCAGATTCACGACAAGGATAAAAAGTTATTTAGGTCAAACCTTCCTCTACCCCTTGTGGGGCAAGTTATCCTATTTTAAAGGGGGCAAGTTGTCATATAAAAAAAATTGCCTCCATACTTTCATATAGTTGTAAAAGTCTTAAATGAATGTTAATAATACATACAATGCTTATTATAAGTAATAAACATCAATAAAATGAATTAGGCATAATATTTAAGATTAATAATAAGCCTTAGTAAACATTAATAAATGATAGTGATAGTTATAGACATTAGACAGTTATAAAGTTTTGCTTACTTGGACTTTTATCCTAACATTTTTTTTTTTTTTGCTTTATCAGATTTTAAATCATGGTTCGCAATTATCAAAGGAAAACCAGTAGAGGTACCACTGCTAAATGCACAATCCTTGAAGCAGTGAAAGCTATAAAGTTACATGGCAGAAGCATAGCCCAGGTGTCTCTAAATTTCAACATCAACTATAGAAGCCTACAACGCTATTTATCAAAAGCCTCTTCCTCTTCTTGAAGATCTTCATGAAGATCTTCAAGAAAAATCGACAATACCTTCATTTTACACTGGCTACGTACAACCTAGGTTTGTAGATTGTTAATATGTTTAAGGATTATAATATTTGTTATTATAAGTGACTCCATAAAATAAGTATTTATACTGGTATATATTTTATATTATTTCAGGCAAGTGTTGACACATGAGCTTCATCTTGAACTCTGTAGCTACTTGCAAAGAGCTTCAGATATTTACTTTGGCCTTACACCAAAAGATGTTAGGAAACTAGCATATCAATTAGCAGATGCTAATAAATTAGCTATGCCAAAATTATGGATGGAAAATCATTGTGCTGGGAGAGATTGGTTTACGTCTTTCCTACAAAAAAATCCAACATTGTCTTTAAGAGCTCCAGAGGCCACAAGCATTGCACGTGCCATAAGTTTCAACAAACACAATGTTGAAATGTTTTTCAATAATCTTCAGGTGTGTCTTCAACGTCACCAATTCACACCAGCAGATATTTGGAACATGGACAAAACAGGGGTAACTACAGTTCAAAAGCCTGATAAAGTAATCTCAAGAAAGGGCCAAAAGCAAGTTGGGGCAATAACCTCAGCAGAAAGAGGTGCTTTAGTTATCTTGGCATGTGCTGCCTCTGCTATTGGTAACAGTATTCCACCTTTTTTTGTATTTCTAAGAGTCAATTTTAGGGACCACTTTTTAACTTCTGCACCACCTGGCAGTGATGGGGACGCAAATCCATCTGGTTGGATGAAGGAAGACACTTTTTGTAAATTTCTTTCTCATTTTGTAAAGAATGCACGGCCTTCAAAGGAGCATCCAGTTTTGCTACTGGTTGACAATCACTTTTCGCACTTGTCATTGAATGCACTAGACTATGCGACAGCAAATGGAACTATTATGTTAAGTTTTCCACCCCATTGCACCCACAAGTTGCAGCCACTAGATAGAACAGTCTATGGCCCTTTTAAAAAGGCTGTAAATACAGCCATCAACAGTTGGATGGTCAGTAACCCTGGAAAGGGTATGACAAATTACAATATTCCAGAGATAGTGAAGGTTGCCTTTCCATTGAGTATGACACCAAATAACATACTGAGCGGATTTTCTTCCTGTGGCATCCAACCATTTAACCCTCAAATATTTACAGATTTGAACTTCGCTCCAAGTTCAGTAACAGAAATGCCTATGCCAGTCAAAACCAATCCTCAATTAACAATGCCTCAAGCTTCAGAGGTTACAGTCTCACCAGAACAATACACTTGTGCTTCAACTTCAAGTTTGACTTTGTCATCACAGGAGCCTTCGACATCTTAAGCTAAATCAATTTCTGAATTCTTTGAGCTTGCATCTCCAGATAAAGTATGGCCATTACCAAAGGCACTAGAAAGAAAGCCTTTCAATAACACACGCAAAAAGAGAACTTTGTCTATATTGACTGATTCCCCTTTCAAAAATTCTATGAGATCAACACAGCCACTGCCAAAAAAATGCAAAAGTTCTGCTAAGGGAAAGGGAAAAGGCAAAGCAACAAAAAAGCATACACAAGACTCATCATCATCATCAGAAGATGAAACCTACTTTATTATTTGCATGGATACTTGGGCTAATAGCAGAGATGCTGAAAAATGGATCAAATGCTGTGTATGCTCAAGCTGGGCACATGAAGAATGTATAGCAGCTATATTTGCCATAACTGTGACTCTGATGATGATTATTAATGGTCATTTTCAAAGTGTTTTAGAGTATAAATTATAATATAATTTAATGTTATTTTTAATAATTTATAAATGATTAATATAACACTTGTTTTCTATTTGAAAATATTTTTTTTCACCTTTTAGACCTACACTTGTGATAAAATATAATTATGACAACTTGCCCCTCTTATCATGACAACTTGCCCCGACGGTGGGGCAAGTTGTCATACCATGGAGCCTTCTTTAGAAATGATGGCATGTTATACTCAAAGGGTCTGAAGCTTTCCAAAGTTGTTTTTTAAATAAATGTAATGATAAACTACCATATAAAA